AATGTCACTAAATTCCACACATGAGTGAAATCATATAGTATTTGCCTTTCTCTACAAACTGAACTAACAAGTTCAGTTTAAAAATGAAATGAAGAGAAAGAAAAAGAAAAAAAAATGTTTAAATGCACCAGTGTCAAACCTGGAGATATCAGGTATATCTAATATCAGACTGTCATAATTTTCATTGCTTAACAGGTTTGAAGTAGAAAGAGTTTATTATGGAAAGAGTTTGTAATCAGCTTAGATCCACTCAAATTCCTAAAATTTACTTTCACAGAAGTGCCCTGACTTCCACAGTGTCCCATTATATGTAGTGTTCACACAAATGTCACCTACCTATCAACTCTCAGCATTGCTTTGTACACAGGTTGCTAGTCATATAGGACACCACTAAGAGGAATAAAAGAAGAATTTCAGTAAAATGAGAAAATGAGGCTGATTAGAGTGGCAAAGCATTTGCTTTCTTTTATCCTTCACCATGTATAGCCAGAAACATCCATTTTTTACTCTATGTGCATGACTGGGAATGTAGGTTTCGGAGAGGGGTGTTCAGATTCAATACCTGCAAAGAATAATATAGTTCACTGAGTTTTATGTGAGTATATTTTGGATTTGTGTGGTTAGGTGGAGAAATGGAATTGTCTAGTATGAGTATATCCACAGTTAACTCTTTCCTAGAATGCTCTAGATTCTCCCATTTCTTCTATGGCTGGGTAAACTTTGCCAGTTGTTTAAAAGGAAATGCCAGAATTTACTAGGATAAATTAATTTGTATGTTAGGTAGTTATTAATCATCTTAGAATTGTTTTGCATTTTAAAACAATGACTTGGCATGTCTAAATAATATATACTCAGATGTTGACCTTCAGATATAATTTCTGAGGATTACCACTCCGAGAATAACCCACTAGATTTCTTTCAGGGTCATAATGCCGTAACATTTCTGCTGATCTTGTTCTAAAATCTTATTAGCATGAAAATGCAAAATGACCACTTAAAATAGGCACTCTCGTGTTGGGCTCCTAAAACAGTCTTTTCTTTCTGTAATAAGCTATTTGAGCTCACTTCATTTTGCTTCATTTTATATTTGTCACCTTTGTTGCTATCTTGGTGTACTATAATGAAATGACACTGAATCAGACAACCTATAATTTTTATTGCAAGTATATCTCAAGGCAAATTTGCAAGCTGACTTGATATCAGAAATGAAGCTAGAGGGAACATGCCTTTGTTCTAAGTTACAAAATGCCCTGCTATTCCAAATTGGAAAATAAACTTCCTTCTTTGGAACCAAGCTCTGCATAGGCAGCATATTAAGATATTTCTTTAAAAATTTATTGTGTACAAAGCAATTTTACCAACTAAACTCTTTGTTTTATAAGAGTATTATACATTAAAGTTGTAAAACTAGTATTTAAGGTGATGCTATGTTATTAAGAAACACTGATTGTATTAAAAATCCCAACATTTGATTTCAAGTTTTTTCATGGAAAGCTAAGAGGAGTGTTAATTTATTTAATAACTAGTGCCCCAGTGCACTGATTCGTGCACATTGAAAGGTAATTAATTAGAAGGTGGCCAGAGGGGTTGGACTGGGCTAAATGGGCTGGACACACCCTGGAGCCAAACTCCCACTGTCCCTCCTGGCAGGCCGGCCACACCTGGGGTGGCACCATGGCTCAAAGGGCATCTGGAGAGTGAGCAGGGTCCCTCCAGCATGTGGGGTCCCTCAGCCTAGCCTGTGGGAATATGGCCAAAACCACCTCTCTGACATCCCCTGAGGGGTTCTGGATTGCAAGAGGGTGGTTCTTGGGTGATGCACACTGGAATCGGGCTCCTTCCTCTCTAGTTCCAGGGTGTGTCACCTGAGAACCGCTGCTGCCAAGTCACCGCAGCTCGGCAGCTCCTGCATTGAGCGACTTCCCCCCTGGTGGTCAGTGTGCATCATACCTACCGGCCGGTCAGATGGTTGGATGGTGACTTAGCCTTTTATATATATAGATCATGAGAATTTGGGCAAATCAGTTATATATTTAAACATCAGCATAAAAAATTTTCACCCCTAGACTATGATCTCAGCATGATCAAATTGAAGCCTGAGAGTTATAATCAAGAGTGATTGCTGAAACCACTAAGCAGCTAGTGGCCAGTCATAGTGTGTGTGTGTGTGTGTGTGTGTGTGTGTGTGTTTAATTTTATTTATTGATTTTAGAGAGAGAAAGGACAGGGGGAGAGAGAGAGAGTTGTACACTAGCTACATGTAGCTCGCTTATATTTCTGGTTTTGCCTTCAATTATTCATTTATACTGTCATTTTATTTTTTATAAATTGGATAATAATATTAATAGTTATAGATTATTTTAGAAAATTATCCCCTTCAATAGCAGTTTTTACATGCACTGTTTTATGCAGCAACAGTGTGAACCCAAAAGGAATTATCGTAGTAGTTTCATAGAGTAAAGGATATACAGCAACAACATAAAATACACACCACACAGTAAAATGCAAATTAAATTTTGCTAGATGTTACTATTAGAAATTGGTATAAATACTCTAACAAACACAGCACATAATTGATTGTTTGCAACACAATTTTGCACATGATGGAAACTGGTGACCTGCAAGAGTATTCCCAATATCCTTGCCCAATGCTGGTTGTTGTTTGCTGCAAAGACCCCTAGGAAATCATTAGCAAACTCCATCTAGAAACAGACCCAAAGGTCAGAGGTATACATAACATGAGATTCATGGCTCATGGTTGGAGAGCTGTGGGCATTTATTCTTGTTCAAAATGTGGTATAGTGCTCCCATTGTCAGAAGTTAGTGAGCCTGAAACATGCCAGTATCTAATTTTGAGCAGTGTGCCAAAGACACATGTTCTTTCTTAAATGGCAGTCATTAGAGTTGGGCACCTAGGGCACCTAGTGAATTCCAGAAGCGTGGTAATTGGTTCTCTAAGAAAGTATAGAGAGGCTCTGAAACTCAAGTGTGAGGAAATTGATCATCAATTTAGAGATAACCCGGGAAAGTAGATACCATCTGATTTGAAAATCCTGGAGCATTGTGCATGTTCTGTAAAAAGGAAAGCTAAGAACATACTTAGCTTTTCAGAAGCATGGACTTTGTTCCATTTGAATATAAATAGAAGCCTCTGTGTGTATGTGTCTCTCTTCCTCTCTATCACACACACACACTTAAAACCAATAATATAGCAAAATAAATATAGAAATAAGAATCAGAATCTTGAAGTAGAAATGCTATGGCCTTTGGCGCCAGTCAGGTCTACATTTGAATCCTATCTCTATCTTTCACTGAAATATGCCACTTTGAGCAAGTCCTTTATTCTCACAACTTACATTTCCTCATCTGTAAAATGGGTAAAGTAGTTCTGAACATGAGGCATTGGTGTGAGTATAATGTATGTCAATTGCTTGGGGATGTATACAGTAGCCATTTAGTAAGTAATGACTATCAAAGAAACTAATTTTTAAGTATACATTTGACCTTAAAACATGTTGTTTGTGCACAGTGTAATCTATAGATATAAAAAGCTAATATGCTAAGTGTCTGACCATCCCACCAGTCACTATGATGTGCACTGACCACCAGAGGGCAGATGCTCAACACAGGAGCTTCCTTGATGCGCACTGGCCATTTACAGAGAAATGGCACCATGGACCTGGCACCCACAAAGCAACACTCAGCTTCCCCCAAGTGGGACACAGACCCCACCACCACCCCAGAGCAATAGCCCACCAAATTGCAGCTTACACTGCCAAAACCCCACGGCACAAAATGCGGCCCACAGTCCAGCCCAACCAAGCCTGGAAACATTAGTTGTGGGCACCGGGTAATGATGCCACGTAGCAATACCCAGCTTCCCCTTCCTAGCAACTAGCCTCCTTGGAATTTCTCAGCCCAGGGACACGACTTGCTTTATAGCCAAGTGGAAACATTTTACACTTTAAGCAAACATTGTGAAGTGTTTTCCCATGCCTGATCTCATTTGATCCTCACAGAAGTTCTGGACTAGGTAGATAGGAGACAGTGAAATCCTTTTTTTTTTTTTCATTAGCCAGAAAACAGAGATTTAGAAAGCTTAGAAACTTGACCTTACTGAAAAGAAGTAAAAAAATGGTGGACCTGGAAAATGACTTCAGGTATACTCACTGCTCAGAATATGGTCAAACACTGCTACAGTTAAATATTTTACTCTTTGTTCTCCCTGCATGATCTACAATAATAATCTGCTTCATGTTGATATTTACTGCTATTTTCTGACAATTACCCGAAAGAGAAGTTGGGTTGCTTCACTGGGCTGGAAAAAGTTTATCTAAATCAGAAAGCAGGTCTAATTAAGCAAGTTTAACTATGTATATAAAGTTCTCGCTGGTGCCAGTCACATACATGTGTTTCGATCTGTTATTGTCGATCATGAATTTGGTTGACACTTCCATTATAAGAGAAAGGGCAAATGGCAATGTTAAAATATTTCTTCTAATTACTTTCCTTTCAATGTGCATGAATTTAAGCACCGAGCCACTAGTTATTTTATAAAACTTACTTAACCCTTGTCACTTAAAAGAACATAGGCTTACGGCTTTAAAATATATTGATTTTTTAAAAAAATTAATGATTATATGCAATCTATATGCAATGATTATCTAGCAATCTAATTTCATATTTCTTTGCTTTGAAAGGATTGCTAGATTTTATTATTTTGTTGTGCAGGTTCACACACAAAAAACCATTGTGTTACCATTAGAAATGTTCAACTTTCTTTCAGAAGTAATTTTGTCTTTTCATGATTTGTATAGTGCCTAACATTTTAACAGCAATCCTCCTTATATATTTTATTTTAATATTAAGAAACAACAAACTAAGAAGAACAATTTAGCATCTGTATTCACATATATTGCTCTTTGCTTCCTTTAACTTTATTTCCACTTGAAAATATTCAGTACTCTTTCTTGTGTCTCTCTTCTCCTCTAATAATTAAGGTCTCTCCAGGACCTTTCCAAGCAGACAGACATTCCTTACGGCACGGTCTTGGACTCTGCAGTGTATGAGCATGTGCGTATGAAGGGAATGAATCCTTTTGAGAGGGACAGCATGTATTCCCAAATGTGGCGGATGATCAACCGAAGCAATGGATCGGAGAATAATGTTCTGGAGTCCCAAGCAGGCATTCAAAAGGTACTGGCTATAGTTTTTCATTCATAGTCTACCCTTTTGTCTCTCATATTAGAATTGGTAAGTTAGGATTGACTTCTTTTTTTAAGTTATTTTAACTTTGACATGAGTTTTCAGTTGCATTATAGCTTCTGTTGATTTAAAGAAGAGTTTGAAGTGACAGTGTACCAGCAGAGGGAATTCAAAACCTCTTTAGTATGTGTGTCTAAAGCAGCGATTTTCAACCAGTATGCCGCAAGATTTTTTTAAAACATGCAATACCTGACTATTTAGTCAGGGACACTGACCTTATTTCCCTTAAATTGTGGGGAAAAAAATTAATTTTTTTTTACCTAGACAATAGCCAAGACAACAATAGGTAACCAGGGTGAATGAATTAGAACCATGCCTTATTTTTTGTTAGGTGGGGGAAAATGTATTTTTTGGTGTGCCACAGAATTTTAGTAATTAGCTTCTGTGTGCCATGAGATGAAAAATGTTGAAAATCGCTGATCAATCGGATCTGTTTCCAGTGAATTCCAAAGCTAGAAAAAAGGAGCTGGTATTTTGCTCAGAACAGGCTCGGAGACTTATACACATGGAGACTGAAGATATTTTTACAAATCCTATTCCAAATATCATTCAGGTTATTCAATCCTTTCAAACACCTAAGAGTATTTTCTGCATTTGTTTTTAGATGAAAACCTTATCTTTACTTATGATTATGTGAAGCTATCTGTGAGTAAAAGTTAATCTTGTCAACAAAATTCCTACCAATGACTGTTTCTTTTTCCAACAGTGAAAATATTTAGATCTTGTTTTTATATAGCTATCACTTAAGAAGTTATTTTACAAAAAAGGGGGGGTTGCTTAGGAAGCAGTCTTTGTTGTTGAAAGCAGGAAGCTGATTTTTATTCTGGCCTGTGGTTTATAAACATGTACACAAAAGTAACACTTTCTTTCTCAGGCCTCATCAATCTCCTTGAGAGAACTGCATGGTTTTTGCTTAAGATTGTTCCAGTGGCTAGCCTAGTAGAAATGACAATGGTTGATAGTTAATAAAAATTATTGGATGAACAAATGAATGAATGAGCGAGTGAATGCATGAATGGATGTCACTAACAGCAGCAATGGTGGTATACACTTTTTCTCTGTAACCTTCCACACAGAATAATTTGGATCCCATGCCTGAGTTCCTCGTCCAAAAGCAAACTCAATAATACTATGTTGGAGAATGCTTTGATGACTATAAATGTTATTCTGCCACAAATTTTAGCATTATTCTATGCATTTTCTAATGATGTTATTTGTCTGCTACTGCTATTGCTGTGGTCCCGTAGAGTCAGCCTAGTAATTTTTGCAGTCACTACATTGACATCATTATTTAAAAAACTGATGATGCTGACATAAATCTCTTTCCAAGCATTGCTTTTAAGGAAGTGAATGTCCTTGAAATATTAGCAATGGCCTCCAACTGTTTCTCTCTTATTATATTAGTCCCCATTTCCCAGGGCCCGGGTATGGATCCCAAAGTGTTTCTATTTTGGGTGAATGGATCTATAAGTTGTCTGAAGGAGAAGGGAGAGTAGGCATTTCAGGGTTTACTAGTTACTCATAGGATATGAATGAATTCAAGCCCACAATAAATATACTAAATAGGTTATTTTCAAATTGTCTACTATTAAAAATAAATTTGTTTTCTTGAGAATGAATATAAATTTCGCAACTACAAAACATTATTATTTAATAGTCCTAAAGTTAAATTAAAATTGTAACATAATAAAAAATATAATGCAATAAAAGAAGTAGAGAACGATTTCTGTTCCCTGAGAGTCTGCTAATAAAGAGGACTTATGAGTTTAAAAACGGCAAATCAAATCTCAGAGTATTTATTACTATTTGTTGCACCACATTTATTCAGTTTTCTAATTTATAGAGGGGTATTAAAGCATGTCCTTTGGAATTCATAATGGAAAACATCAAAGTGAAATTTGCTTTAATATATATTTCTTTCAACCAAAATCACAGACAGGTGATAATTGACTAGACAGAGAAGCGGTAGTAATAATAAAATGTATTTTGGTGTAGTTTGCAAGGTCCTGCCCAGCTTCTATTAAAGTAAAATTAACCAACCAACAATAACTTTTTCACTGCTAAAGCTCACTGGGAGCTCATGAGATTAAGAACACATAAAACGAGATTGTGGATTCTTCCTCAAGCAACTAGCATTGCACATTTCACATAGCAGTTTCCTCTGTCATTGACTTCTAATTTGTGCAGGCTGAAGGGACCTCAGAGGTCAATATTCCACGGAAAACCAAACTTCTACAGTATCTTGGCCAGGAATTTATATATACAGAATACAGTAACTGTCTTCCAGGAAAGCCTGCCTCATTGTGAAAAGCAATCCTCACAATCTGATTATAACTTTATATATCCAATTAATGTCTCAGGTTCTGTTTGTTCTTAATTGTGTTACTAGTCTCATTAAGTTTCTCTTATTTGAAGGTAGATCCAGATTCTTTCCAACCTCTTTATTCTGCTCTTACTGAAAAAACCTATATAAGTGAGGATTAAGTAAATGAGTTCTGAATCTGTTATTATTGGGAGACATGCACCTAAATCAAACTAGCCTAATTAAACTAAAACAAACTTGCTTTTGCTTTCTTCTTCCCAGGATGTTTTGCTTTAATAGAAAAACTGGGATTTGAAAAGTATAATCAAATTTTTAATGCATGTATTAAACAATTATTTATTGAGCACCCACTATGAGTCAGCCACTATTTTAGTCACTGGCGTGAATATAAATGAAAACAAAATGCCTTCATGGAGTTTAGTGAAGAAAACATACAATAAATAAGATAAATAAAATATGTTACATTTCAGTACTGGTAAGTGTTAAGGAGAAAAATAGAGTAGGAGAAGGAGACGGGGACATGGAGAAGATGATCTGTTTTATTAAATCAGATGGCAAGGGAAGTCTTCACTAAGAAAGTGACCCTGGGATAAAGACTTGAAGCAGGTGGGGAAGAGAGGGAGTGAGGGAGAGGGAGAGAAAGAGAGAGAGATCTTGGTGAAGTTGAAGTGTTTCCAGACAGAGGGGTCAGCCAATGAAAAGGACCTAGGTGGGGGCATGTCTGGATAGTCTAACTATGAGAGAGGCCAGTGTAGCTTCAGGAATAAGGGATAATATCAGAAGTGTAACAAAGTCAGAGAGGTAGAGGGCCCGGTGGTAGGGAGAAGGCAAATCATATAGAATTCTATTACAGCATAGTCCCGGGAGCTACCTGCATCAACATCACTTGTTGGAATGCAGACTCTTAGATCTCATCTCAGCTCTTCTGAATGTGAATTTCATTCTAACAAGATTCATAAGCATGCTAAACTAGTCTGAGAACATATACTGTGCAGAACATATTAAGTGGGCTTTTACTCTGTGTAATACATGAAACTTAGGAAGTTTTGAACAAAATAACATGATCTAATTAATATTTTGGTAAATTGTATTGAGAAAAACAGAAGGTGTCGATGTAGAAACTGGAAACCAGTTAGGAGGCCAATATAATGACTCAGCAATTCTGAAATTACACCATTGAAAATCAGTCTCTGTTAAAACCCAAATACATCTTAGAATATTATAACTTTAAACTATTAGCATTACCACATTGATGGAGATTTGATCTATCAAATTATTTTAGGAGGAAGAGGGATATGAGGCAGGTAATTTCTGAGAATAGGTAGAAAAATTCTAAGTCACAGGTAAGGATCTGACTAGGAATGATGTATTTGTGTATAGCACTGAAACAGAGAAGTCTCTGGTTATTAAGAAAGCACTATTTATTTCCTAATAAACTATTATAATTCAGATGATGAGGAACAAATTATTCCAGAACTTCAGCAATAAAGACTACTAGGGAAGAAAAGAAAAGCTGAATTGTTAGGATTATAACTTCTGCTCTAGCTAGAGGACCCCAGTGTTAAGTAAATAATTCTTCAGAGTATGTAGTTAAATGTGGGGTGGGGGGGAACTCTGAAGGATACTATGGCAACAGGAAAATAGGTGGTGGCGGCAGCAGCAGTATTCAACCAGAAAGATCAATTTGCAACATCGCTCATCTACTTAAGTCCCAGAACAGTATGTGGAAAAGGGAGCTGGCAAAGTTCAGATGCGCATCAAGGCTCCACCCAACCACTGGGCTTCAGGGCCAGCTCTAATCCTAGCTGGAAGACTGGAGGATTGAAATGAAAGCCAAGACTGGAAGCAGGGAGACGAGCGAGGAGGCCACTGCTATAATCCATGTAAGACACAATAGTGGGTGGACCAGAGTGGTTATATGGTGCAATTGGTGAGAAGTAATTGAATTTGAACATCTTTTGAAGGTAGCTCTAACAAAATATTCTAACATTTTGCATATGGGGAATGAAAAAGAAAAGTTAAAGATGAATCTAGTGTCTTTGGCTTAAGTAGTTGGAAGAATGAAGCTGTTATTTTTTTAAGTTGTCATTTCTTTCATAAGAGACTAGAATAAGTAAACATACGAAGATGAATGCTTAGTATTGGAAACTAGAATGCAGACCCTCACCGAGGGAAGAAACTCCACAAACTAACCCACCATGGTCATAAAAATGCACATTTACATGAGATAGAGTTTATAATCAAATCATGCATAAATCTGGAAAATAGATCAATAAAAAATCAATTGCTTTTAAATAGTTATTAAAAATTCTTTTCAAAAAATAATTATGAATAGCAAAGCTCCGTAAAGTCTAGTATGAGCACTAAAAGTTATTAACATCCAAAATATGTTTTTTAAAGCAAGTTATAGTAAGTTGCCTATTTATTTATTTATTTATTTTGAAAGATTGAAAAAAAAACTATACGAAAAGCAGATTTGAGAAGCCAAATGAAAATTTGCCTTTGGCATGATAGTTAATATAAAATGCTTATTATTTATCCAGGCAGAGATGCCAAGAAAGCTGATGCATATATAATTTGGGTATTCAGGAAAGAGTTCTAGATGGAG